TGTATATAGTGAACAATCGATTCTCGAGCCATCGATATCAACCTATTCAGCACCACCGCCATGGACAGCACCTGCTAACGTTGCACGTAAGAAGGTTTACCTTAAGCAGCATCCTAAGGTATAGTTCGTGGAACAGACCTAGGAAAGGTATACCCCTAGTTAAGGTGTATCTTTAGAGTCTTCGTAGCGCGCTAAGAGACACCGTTATCGGGAAACGCAGCCCAGCTCCGGATGGAGTTACGCAGTTGAGCATGTAAATGCTGGAGTGGAAGCAGCGGAGGAGCGGGTGATCGGACTGGAGTCTGCATTGGGAGGCCATTCGGACTCTATTACTACCCTGGAAAAGGAGTTTAATGTCATGAAAAAGGAACTGGCCCTGCTGAGAGAATGGAGTGAAGATCTCGAGGCGAGGTCTCGCCGCTCAAATCTTCGTATTACGGGAGTTAAAGAGGGGCGAGAGCACGGTAAACGTATCACTGCATTCATAGCCGGTCTCCTGAAAGATGCTTTGAACCTCGAGAAGACTCCACTTTTGGACCGGGCTCATGGCACCCTTCGCAGCAAACCAGTTGACGACAATGAACCGCCGCGTGCCTTTGTAGTGAGATGCCATTATTTCTCTGAAAAAGAGGACATCTTGAAGAAAGCCATAGAAATGAAGATTTCTGGTTTAAACTGGTCCTTTGCTGGTTTAAACTGGTCCTTTGCTGGTTTAAACTGGTCCTTTGCTGGTTTAAACTGGTCCTTTGCTGGTTTAAGCTGGTCCTTTTGCTGGTTTACGCTGGTCCTTTTGCTGGTTTATGCTGGTCATGTGCTGGCAAAGGACCAGCTTTAAGGACGCGGTGAAAGCTAAAGACTTAATTCTGAAGTACCTTATGTGCAAAGATAAGTGACGATTGCACACATACCAGCGGTCAGCAGTTGGTCAGGCTTTCTGATTTATTGAGTGATGAAGCTCCAGTTTGGTTACTGATGGAGCAGTGTGTAATCCAGTATCTCTACGTTCACTGCTCTGTGCTCCAATCCCAGTGAGCAAACACTATTCTACGAATAACCCAGTTGTCTGTGGATCACTCAGAATATGGTCACAGTTCAGACTTCACTTTAATAGTAAACAAGCGTTGCCTTCTGCCCCTATTCTGTTGAATATTTTGTTTCCTCCTTCTCTTATAGATTCAGCATTTCAATTGTGGTCTAAAACGGAATTAGTTGTGTTAAGGACCTTTTTAAAGACGGCATATGTATTTCATTCCAACAGCTAAGAATGGAGTTTGAGATCCCTCAGTCTAATTTTTGTAGGTAATTACAGGTCCGTAGCTTCATTAAAAAACATTTATCTCCTTCCTTGAACCAACCTGAAGGGGGCTGGATAGATGAGTTGTTAAATATGGACCCTTTTCGAAGGGGTATGTTGTCTATTCCAGTGTTTCCCAACCGGGGTGCCGTCTGTCGAGAGCAGGGGTGCCGTGTAAAAAAATCATTTTTTAATATTTTTAAATTGCTAAAATGTTCAAAAAAGCATATATTATATAATATCCATTTCTGATGTCGCCAATAATTAGAGATGCACTGAAATTTCGGCTGCCGAAAATGAGTTCACCGCTCAGGTTTCACTTTCACGTGGTGTTACACGGAGACCACAACAACACACAGATAATAAAAATAAGATGTGAATAAGATACACATGCATAAATATAAACCACAAAAAATAATAAATTGTATGTACAGGTCTGCTATAGATAGAATAGAATAAAATAAAATAAAGTTGTAGGGATGTACTAGGATTTAAGGTGATAAATATAAGGTTATTGAACATACTTTAATTGCACAATGGGAGAAAATTAACTGTTCATGAGGTAGATTGCCTGGGGAAAGAAATTGTTCTTGTGCCTGGCTGTCCTGATATTCGGTGCTCTGTAACGCCGACCAGATGGCAAAAGTTCAAAAAGGAGATGGCTTGGATGTGATGGATCCAGAGTGATTTTCTGAGCCCTTTTCCTCACTCTGGATGTATACAGTTCTTGGAGGGTAGGCAGGGGGGCACCAATAATCCTTTCAGCAGTCCGAACCATTCTCTGTAGTCTTCTAAACCAGACAGTTTGGTCTGGTTTGTATAAATAATGATATTTGTGCTATCATTATTAATTTCTTTATTTGTTCTTATTTTATTACTGACTGCTTACTTGTCATTTTTTATTCAATTCAAAGTTTGAAATCAAGCTATCGCGTGCTACTGCCCCAAAATTACCCCACTGTAAAATTAAAAAAATTGAGCAAAAATTTGTGAGATAGCTAGTTATAATGGTAATTAAATAATGTTTACATATGTATAAAAGCCTACATTAAAATCTGTCATATAAATTGCTCTCTTCATTAGAAATTTGCCTACTGATTGCCACCATTGATGGACA